TATATATATATATATATATATATATATATATAAAATAAAAGCACTGAATATCTACTCCCAAAGCAACAGTTACAACCGGAGTGAATGGCAACACAGGAAACTCTGCCCCATCCAGGGCCTCTGCCCTCCCCACTGTCTGGTACAGCTGCAAAGAAGAATCCTCATCAGTCTAACAACTGTAAAACCCAACATGCTGAAAGCACTGCCTCGGTGTGAACGGTGTCCCCACACGAGAGCAGATCGCATTTCCACACCTGCCCTTGAAGCCGACAAACGACAATGGGGATTTCCACTCGTTTTTCTGCTTTTAAGGTAAAATACTGTCTTTCCCATCCCCACCAGTCCACTGTGAAAGCTGCTTAATGATTTAATAATTAACTAATATTTCACCCCAAGAAAGCTCCATAACTTATTGAATCCCTCTGGAAAACTTTTGTGTTTTTTTTTTTAAAGAGAAGGAGGCAGCAGAGAAAAGATGATGTGTTTTAGGTAATGCTGGAGCCAGCAAACCCAAGACCATGTGAACATAGAATGAGACTGTGGCACCAAACAGAAAAAAGAACAGTGAGGGGCATGGGGTAATGGCAGGGAATTCAGGTAGACTCTTTGGTCACATAAATGGGTTTGGCTAAATTCCATGATACATGAAATAAGGGTAAACAAGTTTTGGTTAATAAGAGTGGGTCATAGTTATTTTTAGTGCTCTCTAGAGTTTATTTTCTTCTCAGAACTAAAGTGTTCCATATAAAAATTTCCTGAGGAAGGTGGGCTTTCGGACAGAGCACAGATCAAACAGAAGATAACATGGCTAGGGAGGGGGTTTTTCCCAGGGGGCCTGGAGCAGCTGGAGCCCAATCCTCCAGGTGCAGCTGTACACCAGGGGGACAGGGACAGATGGACTTATGGCCCCAGCGTGGGACTGCTTAGATAAATCCCAGGGGACATACTCCAGAGAGGTCACATTCCCCTCCATCTGAGGAAGCTTCCTCTAGGCAGCTCTGCCCTTCTCAAACAGGAAGGGGAAAAGGTCCCAGAGAGGAAGGGGACAGGAATAGCTTTAAGTGGTGAGTCATGAGCTTAGGGAGTAGGAGCTCTGCCTCCCCTGCCCCCAGTACCCACAGGGCTCAAGGTCCCAGGGATAACTGGCTGCCAGCGTGGCTGTTGGGCAAGGCTGGGGAGACCTTAGCCACAAAGGGGGAGGGTAGTGAGGGCTGAGATTCTAGAAGTGGGTGGCCTTGGTACAGTTGGAATTGCCTGCCCAATACAAATAGTGGGTGGGGAGGCACAGGAAGAGAGAGCCTGGCCGGGCCACATGAACGGCAGAGATAAACTGACCAGAGGCAGAGTACACACTCCACAACCTCCCTACTGCCTGCCACGCTGCAGGCAGAAACACAGCAAGGAGAGAAGGTTTGTGTCCCCTAGCCTTGACTGTCGAGCTGCACAGACTTGACTTAAGGCAGGAAAGTGCAGGTGCTACCACGGAACCCGCCAAGAGACAGTGCTTACAGCTTTCTGAAGGGAGTCGATGAGGTTCTGCAGGTCGATGTCGTCCCGGTAGGATCTGATGTTGCTCTCAAAGAACTCCCGGAACCGATCCCTTACCCAGTCCTGGAACAAGAAGGCCAGCACAGCCACAGCCAGCTCCAGGAAGAAGATGAGCACGATGGCACCACAGAACTGCATGGAGACAAGGGCAGTGCAGGAGTTACCACATCTACCAGGCTGGTCCTATACACCCATTTGACCCAAAACCACTACCTGCTGCAGAACATGAGCTGTCACAGGAGACCCCAGGTCAGCCTGGGAATCCCGCGTTAGTAGCAGGGGGCTTCATCTCACCCGTAAAGGGGGATGGTTGATCACTAACCACGTCATCCACTGCAACACTGCTAACAGTGAATGAGTGAAAAAAGATGAGAGGGCTCCAGGCCAATGTGCCAGTCACTGTTATGAAGCAGCCCTTCTCCCTCGAAAGAAGGAAACCGTAATAGGGAGTGAATGGCTGTCCTACCCACAAGGTTGTCAGCTCCTCTGGGACAAAGTCTGGGCCCAGACATTACCTGACCACTCTCCACACGTACACAACCATCCAAATTTCTAGAAATTGGATTTATCACCCCAACCTTAAGGATGAAGAAAGTGAGGCTCACTCAGGTACATAGCTTGTCTGCAGTCACGTAACTCACACAGGACATCTAGTTCCCTGGCAGTCTTACCACTCTGGAGGCACCAATGTTATCAGTACCCAATCTGTATGTGAGCATGATAGTCACATATAGACCTTTCCTGAGATATGTCTGTGACAGGCCAGGAATAGTGGTGGCATTCTACAAGACCCCTCTGTAGCCATAGGTTCATATCTACCTCTGTCACCAGACACTTTCAGTGTGTAAAGCCTGTGTTCTCACAGACACAAAGACCACTAAACAGCTTTAACACCACTGACAAATTTGGAGGAGCCTTTCAAAGCAAGATGGAGAAGTACCAGCATGTAGGCATAGGAACATGCATATACACAGGCCCTCCAAATGTACTCCCTGTTCCCATGGAAGCAAGATACTAAACATAGTATTTTTAAGAGGGAAAAAATAGAAAAAAAAATATGTGCTTTGCTTTTTAAATTAAGCCCAGGAAAGAGAAAGCTTGACCTAATAAACTCAACAAATAATATATTGTAAAAAACCTTAACGTGTTTTCCCCACCAGGTGCTATTTAATTTTAACTGAATGCATTTAAAAATGAATTTGTATCTAAATATAAAACTAAACTCTTAGTAACTCGCAGTTCTACCAGGAAATTAAAGATTCTACATTGCACATCCAACAGATTCACAACCCTGGAGGAGGGAAATGATTTCTTAATGTTACTGACAACATCTTTTGATCTTAGCCAGGAAGGGCAAAGGTGAGTAGCAAACAAACAATTCCTCCAGAACTTCTGAGAGGAGATAAAACGCAAAGAGGGGGAGTGGAGCTGCTTATAAGCACTTCTTCCCACCAGGAGCTGAAAACCAGAGGAGCCCCACTTCTCCCGGGGAAAGGAACCAGCTCATCTGGATTTTTTTTTTCCCTAAAATCTTACCACTCAATGAGGCAGTAGGGTACAAAGTGACTCACACCAGGTAACATATAGGCCGTCCTAGCTGAGCCAGTACCCCTATCCCCCATTACCCCTACCTCTGTTACATCCCACCCCCATATCTGGGGCCACTCACAAACTTGAGCAGGCAGATGTTCTCCCGTAGGGCCCCCACACAGCCAGCGAACCCCAGTGTGAACATCACCACGCCCACCATCAGGACCAGCACCACGGGGTCTATTCCATGTAGCCGAGTCACTTTGGTGAGGTCAGACAGAACACCCTGAAAAAGGCAGAGAAAGAAGGGTAGCATTAGCCTTGAAGGGGACTCAAGGGGACTCTAGCTGGGCTGTCCAGAGATCTGCCTCTCAGGGCTCAATCCTATCATTAAAAGCCAGGCAGAATATGGCCCTGACTACCCGCTGAGAGGCACATCAGGCGAACAGATTCTTGACCACCTCAGTCCTGAGACCCTCACAGGAGGGTCACAACCTCCTGGTCTCCACTGAAGCTCAGTTCCTGGGAGGCAGACCCAAGGCTTCCTTTATGGCCTATTGGGTATCTCTGACGGGTCCACTGGAAAGCAAAATGCTGTGGTTGACTGTCCAAAGCAGCCTCAAAATGAACATTCTGTGGAAAATACACCTAGCAAGGGAAGAGGTGTGGCAGTGCTGCCTACAGAATTACCTGTGATAGTGGAGGTACTGTGTACCTGCACTGTCTAAATTGGTAACAACCGTTTCTGGGTGCTTGGAATGTGGCTAGGGACACTTAAGAATTTTCATTTGTGTTTAATTTCAATTAAATAGAAACACATAGTCATATGTGGCTAGTGTGACCCACAATGACACAGCAATTCTGTGAGATTCAAAGGAGAATGAAGAAGAGGACAGCCAGACCAGGTGCTCGGCCTAGTGCAGACAGTTAGCTAAGCAAACTGTTGCAGTCCCAGAGGTGGCCACACCGTGGCACTACAAGTCACAGGTTGCACTGGCTTCCAGGTCAGTGGGGCAAAGGGACACTGCACTGTAGTTCTTGCCCTGTTAGGGTTCACAGGCTATCCTGAAGGTGTCCAAACCCAAGGGCAGGACTCATCCAGTTCCTAAGGCTATGGCAGGAAATCCCATAAACCTAAGTGCTCCTGTCTCCTCTTGGAAACAAAGGCAGTTTCCACTGAAGGAACAGAGGGCTCTCTCACCTAGCTTCTCTCTCTACCTCCCTTGGTGCCCTGGCAGGGATTTCTGCCCTCTTCACCTCCCCAGCACCAAACTGCCATGGACAAAGACAACACCACAGCTCCACCTGCTCTTTATCCTTGCAGACCGTTACATACTGGTCTCTTTTTCTCACCTCTCTCACAGGCTTGGCAAAGAGGTCCAAAAATACCTAAAGGCCTGCTCCCATTCTCAAGACTTCTGTAGGCAAGGACAAGAGCTCCAGGAATAAACACAACTGTGTTTGGGACTTGCTCACTTGCCCTAGAAGCATACAGGGTCAGGCAGGCAACCCCAGGCCCACTCTGGGCATAGCTGCAGGCAAGCCCAGGGCCACTCCAGGCTGCTGCAAACAGAAATTTCTCCACATTCACAAAGCTCAGAAAAACCCCAAAATCTAACTGTTCCAGCACTGACTACCCCTCCCTGCACTGCCCAAGGCAGAGCCAGTCTCAGGAGGGTTCTGTGGATCTTTACTTTGCACAGGAAATGTTCCTTGTCAAGAAACAGACAGGAGGAGGGGATAATTCAAGCAGAATGAATCTAGTTTTGGTCTCCTGGTACTCAGGGTTCTACCTACCTTTTCACTCCATGCCCAGAGTCCAACTCCAAGGAAGACAACTCCAGCCAACTGAGCAGGAACAGTGGGGGGAGAGAGAGAGAGAAGAAATGTTAGATCAGAAGCCAGCACCATAAACATGCTTCTCACAGCAAAGACCACATGCTAGTCAGGATGCTCCTGGCTTCCAACCAAGATCCTAGGTCCTTCTGGGCGTGGTGGCACACACCTATAACCCTAGCAGCTCTGGAGGCTGAAGCAGAAGAATCTCAAGTTCAAGGCCAGCTTCAGCAATTCAGCAAGGCCCTAACCAGCTTAAAGAGACCCTATCTCAAATTAAAAAATAAAAAGCGCTGGGGATATAGCTCAGTGGTAAAATGCACATGAGTGGTTCAATTTCCAGTAAGGAAAAAAAAAAATCCTTAACCCTGCAGATGACAGGGGCTTCTACCCCAGGAAAAGGACAAGGAGGCTCTGCAGATAACTGGCTTGTACTCCTGAATGTATGACAAACTCTTCCAACACCAGATGGCCCCCCAACCCAGAGAAGAGATAAAGGCCTCAGGGCAGACTATGTGTGCAGTCAAGCTCTACCCTGTTCCTTCTATATTCTGCCACACCTACCCCCACCCAAGTTCATTTCAGGGCACTCTCAGTGTGTAAGAGGACTTTGTGCCCCAGGAGCATTAGAGGTTTTCAGTGTAGATGGGGGCATGGAGAGCAAAGCCCAGCACCAAGTACGCTCCCCACCTCAGGCCTCCAGCACTGTATTCAAACTCAGCCATAAGCTACCCAGGCCAGCTGCTAGCCAGAGTTGAGCCCCCTCCCCAGGGTACTTACATGTAGCACAAAGTACACATGTGCTCAGGAGGTGCTGGGTTACTAGCTAATGAATTAAAATAAGCCTGCATTAAGCAATGACCTCACTCAGAAGAAAAGCACCCCAGTCTCCCACCTGCAGGAACCCACTAGGGCTAAGCTGCTCTCTGGGCCAAGAGAATGGAGCCCACCCAAATGCACCACACAGGTTTCTGAACCAGGGAGAATCTGCCATATAAAAGGAAAATACATCATGATCTGTGCAAATGAAGCTGTCTCCTGTTTTCCTATTAACTACTTTATACCACACCGGCATTGCACTGCCATTTATTAGTATCTCACAATAAATAACAGGGCTAGATTTCTCTATGACTTTCACCTTTCCAAAGTTTATTCTCAAGCTTCAAGCTATTTCTGCAGTTTTATTCAATACTAGACCCAGGTGGCTGGAATGGGAAGGCAGGCCCTTTAATGAAAGCCCCAGGAGGTCTCAGACTCTTCCAGATCATAGATCATTTTTCAGGAAATGCACACACTCCCAATATTCTGCACAGAATACTGGATGGTGGTTCACAGCTTCTAGTAGTTGGTTCCCACAGTGGTCTGTAAACCCCAAGCCCTGCATTTTATAAAGCAGAATACTGGGGTCCAGAGAGTTCAAAACCAAAATGGCAGGTAGTGAGGAAAAGGACCCCATCCCAAGCTCAGTTCATTTATTCATTTGTTCCTCACTCACTGGTTCAAATATTCATCGAGTACATCCTAGGTGATGCACTCCACCAACAGGCCAGCGGGCTGCTGGTGTTTATGCTCCTATGGGCTCATCCTTGCTCCTTTCTACCACACCACCCCACTCCACCTCACACCAATTTCCTAATTGATATCTTTGTTTTTCTTGATGAGTGCATGATTATTTCCTCCACTTCCCAGGAGTTTCAAAATGCTATGAGAAGTAAACCCCCAAGTGACTGGTAATCCTACAACTCCTCAAGGTTCTCAATACTTACTTACCTCTTGCCAAAGCTGGAGCTAGTCTTTAATCCCACCTTATCTGACCTTATGGAAGGTGAGATCAAGTCAGTTATTTCTCCTGCAACTATTTCCCTGCATACGTAGCTTCAGGAATACCAAGGCAAAGGGTTGTCTCCCTCACTGACTCCTCTTTCAGATCACACCAAGCAGTGGAGAAGCTCACAGCTCAGTCCTAGGTCCTTTGCCCTGCCTTGAGCCTGCTAGGTGATCTCATGATTGCCACAACACTAAATGCTGTCCATCACACTGCCAACTCACCAATACAGACCAGAATAGCCACTTCTCTAAGTCACGCAGCTCAGGGTCTCCTTGAAAGATCTGATGATTCCAATCGAAAAAACGTCCTCAATGTCTCCTGGATCTCCCCACCCGTGCTCTGCTCCTCCCCAACTCCTCACCTTCTCCTTAAAGGGTACCACTGTCTGTTCCTCTGTTTAAGAGAAAACCTTGACTTCGTGCTTAATGCTTCTTTCTCCCTTGCCCAGTATTCAACTCACTGTTGACCCTCTGCTGGTTTTACCTTCAAAACACATAATACATCCGACCAGTTTTCCTCTCTGTTCCCACCTGTCTGTTGTCTGGATCCTGCAGGGGTTTCCTCCCAGGCCTCCAAGCAACTAGAATGACCCTTTGAAAATACAACTGCCCCTCAGAAATTGAGAGAAACTGGTTCCAGGAACCTCTGTGGATACCAAAATGCTCATGCCTAGGCCTCCCATATAAAATGGTGCAGTATTTGCATATAACCTGTGCACATCCTCCCATATACTTCAAATCATCTCAGATTACTTATAATGCCTAATACAACATAAATTCTGTATAAGTAGCTGTTATAATGTTTAGGAAATACTACAAAAAAAAGTTTACATGTTCAGTATTGACACAGATTAAAAAAAAAAAAAACAGCTTTTATCCAAGATTGGCTTTCACAGATGTAGAGCTGGCAGATACCAAAGGACAACTGTCAAGATTACATGGCTCCCCACCTTGAAACTCTTCAATGACTTCCCTTCAGACCTGGAATAAAATTCAAACTCTGCCGCGACCTACACAGGGCTGTGCCCCAGGCTTCAGCCCACATCCCAGCAACACATTCCTCCTGCCCATCACCCCCATTGCAGCCCTGCTCCCCACCACCCTGGCATCCTGGCTGTTTCCTGAACTCACTCCCTGCTCAGAGCCTTGAAACTGTTCCCTCTGCCTAGAATGTTCTTTGTCCATATCCATTCCTGGCTTCTTCCTCATTTCTTTCAGGCAGGTCTCCTCAAATTTCACCTCTTCAGAGATGCTACCTTTACCATCATATGTAGAACAGCTCCCTGCTCATCACTTGGAAATCTCCTTTTGCCTGATTTACTTTATTGCACTGAACCTAGATCAATATAGGCTGTCTGTGTTGTTCAGGGGTGTATCCCAGCAACATGGAGAAGGACCTGGCATGTAGGTGCAGAACAGGCCCTTGTAAGAACCTTACCAGGCTGCAAGGATAGGCAGTCTCAGCCTGTGGTGCTTCTGGCTCTCCTCCCAGTAGATGATTGTGGAAATCATCTACTTCAATGAGCCAAGAAAGAACCCAGCCTGGCCCAGGTTTATGGTGTAGCCCTAAACAGGGGCATCAGCCGAGGATCAGAGCAGAACAGAGCCTGTTGGCCGACTAGCACTATCCCCCATCCAGTGTTCCCAACAGACTTTCCCAGCCCTGCTTTCTGCAAAGTCCACCCAGCTCCCAGTGACATGTGGACCAGTGAATGAAGTCAGCCTTGAAATACTCAACTGACAGCCATGCAGACCTCCCCTTTCCTGATCTCTGCATTCACTGGTCTCACAGTTCACTCCTCACCCCATGTTCTGCATCTATTTTTCCCCATAGTAAGACCAGCCTCAGCTCCACCTATATGTCTATGTCTTGCTGAAGTCATACTGAGGTGCTGTTTGAATTCTTCCTCCAGGTGACTAAACTGATGCAAGGAAGCTTGCACAGCTAACACACACAAAGGACAAGTCCTCCAGAAAGACCCTCAACTCTCCATAACAGAAGCCAGCATTTACTGCTGAACTACCTGCTCAGGTCTGGATCCTGCAGGGGTTTCCTCACAGGCCTCCAAGCAACTAGAATGATCCTTTGAAAATATAACTGCCCCTCAGAAATTGAGAGAAACTGGTTCCAGGAACCTCTGTGGATACCAAAATCCTCATGCCCAAGCTGTGCTGGGGCAGGCAGCTCCTGTTCATGGCTGCTCTAGTCATCACTGTTTTCCAAGGCTCCCTAGGAAAGCCAAAGAGGAGCCCGGTCCCCATCACTGCAGCACAGTTCTCCTTCCCCGCACAATGACCAGGTTCTAAGAGTAAGAGCTTGATTTTTTTTGTTTGTTTGTTTTGTTTTCCCCATTTTGTTTTAGAGGAAGAACTAAAGTTAACTCACATAAGAAAGATGGGAACTTAGGGGTCACATGTCAGATCATGGGTTCAATGAATGCTGGCCCAAAGCTGAAACTTTGTGGACCAACAATCATGATCCTTGAACTCTGGAGCAGATTCTGTGGGTCTGGGCTCGGTCTTGTTCCCTAGCTGCTAACCTTCTGGGAGCAATGGCTCTGCTGGGTGACCCCCAGTCTCAGAGCAGCCTTCTTTGTTCTTCTTACATGATCCAATTGAATCTCCTCAAGTAGGGATCCAACTCCAGTCAAGCCCAAAGTGAGTCCAACCTTTAGTCTGCTTGGATCACTGGACACATATACTACTATGGTCACCAGGCCTATAGCCCCACCCTTTCCTTCACACCATGTTAAACACTTAAACACCAAAGGAGACCTTCTACATACTCCAACACTGCTCTTATCACCTTCATTTATCAGATGGAAAGCTCAGACACAGAGCAACTTGGTCAATTGTTCAAGGTCACAGAATTAGTTGGTGCTACTTAAGAACCAAATCTAAGTGTCTCTGATCCTGATAACATGTGAGTTCAGAACTGACAGTCACATGGGAGCCCAGTGGTATGATGCCAGAGAGAGGCATTTGGGCTTTGCAACTTCAAAGAAACAAAACATAGCTATGTGATGAGGAGGCCCCTATTAAAGAAGTCTTTGTTCCAACCAGGGCAGATGGTAAGGGAGCAGGGCTTCTTTAGGGATCATCAAAACATTCAGAATTGACCTTTCCTCCTTAGCCAAAGGCCCATATCATAGAAATAAGAGGTTTGCTTGTGGGTGCTCTGGGCT